TAGTCTGGGCAACTTGGTAAGACTTCGTCTCTACAATAAATAAAAAAATTAGCTGGGCATGGTGGCACACACCTGTGGTTCCAGCTACTTGGAAGGCCGAGGTGGAAGGATCGCCTGAGCCCAGAAGGTCAACGCTGTGGTGGCCATGAGCATGCCACTGTACTCAAGCCTGGGTGACAGAGTGAGACTCCTACTCCAAAAATAAATACACACACACACACACACACACACACACACACAAATATCAGTAAAGGGCATAAGACTCAGAATTAGACCCTGGGCAAGTAACATAACCTCTCCTAGACTCAATTTACTCACCCGTAAATGGGAGTAAGTACCTACCTCAGAAGTATGCTGTGAGTACGGGCTAAACACTTGACTAATGATGGCCACTGCTATTATCTGGCAAAAAATCACAGAGTTTACTTCGAGAAGGGGCTTTAGAAACATTCCAAAAAGAAAATGTATGAAGTTCCTTCAACGTGCTAGAAGCTTTGCTTATTGATTCCTTATAGCAACCTCATTAACTCCATTTACAGATTGGAAATTGTGGTTCAGACTGTTCAGGGTCCCAAAGACAACTAATTAAACAGGAATCTTTCTGCACCCAGAGTCATATTTTTATCGTACGACATGATCATATACACAGGTGAGCTCTCAGTCCTAGAGAGGAAGGATTCCAATCTCTATACTCCATGAAAAGAAACTTCAGAATGGTAAACAACAAATATGCTAACAATAAGCCCTTGAATAAAGTGAAGAATCACTTTCTAAGCTTTAAACCAAGATAAAGACCCTAGTCAACATGACCATATAAGAAATAATACCAGGAAGCCATTTTCCTTCAATTCTTTTTGAAAACGTGCCCTGTGTCTATAATGAAGTAGCTGTAACAAAGGGGACCAATATAAAAGAACTAGAAATTCTCTTAAGATAGCAAAGATGAATTTAAGATACCTGAAAGACAACAGAATTAGTGAAAGGGCAGTCTGAAAAACTTATAGTCTTAAGACCCAGGCTCTTTCATCTTTCAAAAAATCCAGTTCAAAGATAAATTATTTGATCACAAATAATGAAACATGGAAAATAACAAGACACTTGATTTACAACTGTCTCATAGGAAAAGCATACCTAGAGAAATCTAATTAAGTTGTGAGATATTTACAATTTGGATGTCATCGTAAGAATGGCAAGAAAACTATGCTTTCATAAACATACATGAACAATCTTGTGGATGTATATCTTAACCCTCTGCATTCAGGTGTCCCCTATGAGGGAACATCGTAAATTAGCAAACCACTTGGCTGTCCCTTCACAGAGGACATCAAGATATTGCTGGTGATTATACAGGACACACTTATGCAAGCACAAGGTTTTCAAGAATGTATGTTTCCTTTAAGTTTTCAATTAAAAAAAATGGAAAACCTATGCCCCATCTGAAATCTGTCAAGCTTCTGATCAATCAGTTGAGAAGTGGTTTTTAGGAATCAAAGTATGTCCTTCCACATCATCTTCGAACAGACTGGACAATAAATTACATATTATTAACGTGGGAGGAAGAAAATGAGACTGTATTGTCTGGTCAAATAGAAAAACACCAGGTGGAAGACATCAAACAAATTATTATCGCACATGTATCAATAAACTTGCAATGCATGTCGGTGACTGTTTCACACATCAGAAAAATATAAGCTAAAATTTTGACATTCTTGTCATAAATAAGCTCTTCAATGTCCAAAATTCCATTATAAGCCAAATATCATTGCAATAAAATAATTGGCTCCAACGCTATACTATTTAATATGGAGTGACTCGTTTTTCACAATTTTGTGAAGAATTATGGTCAAATTGCTGGTAGGTGATCCGTGAGATGTCTCTGAGTGCAAAAGGTTAACTGTGGTCGCCCACCAGAGCACAAGTTCTTGAAAGGCACTATGCAGATACAGTCCAATCTACTGTCTAGAAACTGCAAGAATGAGGAGACTACTCAATGCAAAAAATAACTGAATTAAATACATTAGATTTCGTTTAGGTTAGAAGAAAGTGAAGGAAATAGTTTAGGCTGGGTTAGGAAATAGTTCAGGTTAGAAAAAAAAGGGGAAGATGAACCAACAATGATATGCTTACCATGTAAAATTAACCCTCCCCAAGTGCTTGGTTCCTGTCAACCCAGCCCAGAGTTCAATCCTGGGTTCATAATTTAAGATTTCACAGGCAGAAGACATCCCCGAGCATTAACATCACAGCCAGCAGAGGCAGAGAATGACCTGGATATATACATGCCTCAGCAGTAGTCAGGGACAGAAACACAGGTCAAAATAAATACATCTCCGTTTTTGCACTGCATGAAATGAATACAATTTGCAACTAACTACCATTATGAATATGTTCTCCTAAATAGCTCCCACCCTCAGGGGGAAATAAAATGCCATTAGGTAAATATTATTTGTCCTAGTTCAAAGAGATACAAACAAGATATCCTACTGTTAAGTCAAAAGTTGCCAACATGCTATTAGAGAAGTCAGATAAGTAAATTCTAAGATACAGACATGTTGGCTGGTTACATTAATACTTAAGAATTAAAATACAGATAAAAAGCTATTCTAAAGTACTGGTTTGGCAGATAGCTACTTTCATGTAAAGCTTGCTTTTCCTATTAATTGTAAAATTAGCATGATTCTAAAATGGGTCTGGTACAGAAATGTATTTTTTCCATTGGAGAAAAAGACAAACAATCAAGCAGATATAATCCTTTTAAAGAAAAGGTGTTCAGACCGGGCTCAGTGGCTCAGCCTGTAATTCCAGCACTTCGGGGCCGAGGCAAGTAGATTGCCTGAGCCTGCAGGTTCCAGACCAGCCCCTGCAAATTGGCGAGACCTCACCTCTACAATAAAATAAAAAATTAGGCGGGTGTGGTAGCACACGCCTGTAGTTCCGGCTACTTGAAAGGCTGAGGTGGAAAGATTGCAGGTCGACGCTGAGGTGGCTGTGAGTGTGCCACTGCACTCCAGTCTGGGTGACAGAGTAAGACTCCAACTCAGAAAAAAAAAAAAGGTGTTCATTAATTTAAAAGCTACCTTTTGGCAGGAGAAATCCAACCTTTCTTCTTCCAAACCACCAGTGCAGACAGTACATGCCGGTCCTTACCTCACTTTAACAAACAGCACCAATGACAAGGGATAGGCCCAAGTCTCACAACTCAAGTAAAAAAATGAGACATCAATTAACACAATACACTTAAAACCAAGGTCAAAAGCAAAATGACCACAGACACTGTAGAAACTGATAAGTGTTTGGGTTTTTACCTAAAGATAACAAATTCATATAATATGAAAATAACTTGATGTAACACAGTTCATCTCCTTATCAACATTTCTAATTACAGTGAAGAGATGTGAGAAAAAACATAAAATTATGGTTCCTACTGAAATTCTAGACATGTAATATTTATATTAAAATTTTCTTACAGCACATGAAAAAAAATCATATTTTTGGTCTACAAATCTAAAAATAAAAGCACTAAATCTCAATGAACCAACTAACAAAACTAGTCATTCATTCTTAATCCAGCACAGCAAGGAGACGATGCCCTAACACGCATTCCTTCATAAACCCTTGTGGTCCTGCTTCCCTCGAATGGACTAAGAATTAGAGGGTATTTTCTGTGTTCACTGTACATTTTTTGTGATTTTAAAAGTAATCACTGGTATAGTAAAAGTTGGTTTACTCTAAAAGCCTGTGTTTACGGCTTTCCTCCTTTCTTCCTCAACTGATAATACAAACTGCATGCAATAGGTAGCACTGTAAAAGAACATAACAATTACATGGCCCACAGATAGCATTTGTTATAAAATCTACTGTAATTACAACAGTAGATGAAGGTTCCTTGCCATAACTAAGAAAGACTATATGGCAGGATAAGGAGGCAAATATTCTAATGATCATATTATGGGAGAGTCTTCTGGAATGGGAATCTAATTGCAGTAACTTTTTCTATTTTAGAGTGCTGAACTTATCCAAACCATCGTGAAAAGCTGCAATTTCTGTGTCTTAATGAAAATGATCTCAAATAAGCATTGATCAAAAGTTAAAAAAAAAAATGAGGCATGCTCTACTTTTGAAAGCATGTGGTAAAATAATACATGATTTCAATTTAGAATTCAATTATTCCCTTTTTTTAATGGGGGAAATTGTCTTGAACATAGAAGGCAAGTAGCCATCTGGGACAAAGCTGCTTAAAAGAAGACAGACACACATACCCACGTCCACTATTCCTATTCTGCCCACAGCTACTCACTGAATCTACAGCTATACACAACAAGTTACATGTGTAAAGAAAAATTTATTTTTAAACCAAACATAATGATTCTATCACCAATTATCTACAAAAAGAAGCTCAAACTGAGAAACGTCTAATTTAGGGATTGTCATACTGACCTCTCATTAAGACTCAAATGAGAAGTCAAACAACTACCAAATCCCACTTGGAAGTACAGTCTGGCGCCACATCATGACATTTGGATCAGACAGATCACAAATACAAAGGGGGTCCCATAAGGTTATCACAGCATATTTTTACTGTGCCTTTCCTATGTTTAGATACACAATGCTATTTAATGTGTTACTATTACCGCTGTAATAGTACCTTATTGTACAGTAACTTGCTGCACAGGCCTGTAGCCTAGGAGCAAAAGGCTGTACCATGTATCCTGGCTGTGTAGTAGGCTACGCCATCTAGGTTGTATAGGTTCATTCTTTGCAAAATAGCAAAATTGCCTAACGATGTATTTCTCAGAACACATCCCTGTCATTAAGCAATGCATGACTGTGGTATTCAGATCACAATTCTTATATCAACTTCAAAAGTAGGTAAAGGTTAATGATACATGACCGTAACAGAGGCAATTCTTAATTCTTCCTTCAAAAATGTTCTCTGGAAATTAGGACATTCTAAGTGAAAAACAGATTTGAAGAGGCACTCATAAAACTTGTCAACTTACCCCGCCTGACAGCTTAATCACCCTGACCTTGGAGCTGACGTGGGGCCCGTCTCCACCACCACTGTTTGCCCTGTGCGTGACAGTCCTTTTCACGCCAGGCTTCATGTCCTGAGGCCGGCCCTGAATGGATGCCACCCGGGTAGCCTGGGGGGCAGCTGGTTCCTCCACGTCTACAGGCTTTATCTGGAGTACTTTATGCAGCGGCTGAGTTTGACTTTGAGGGACTGTTCTGGCCTGTCTCAAATGTTTCAGGGGTTTCATATGTTGTCCTTGATACTGCATGTTGGTACCAGACGGTACAAAATTTGATGTTTTGGGCTGAATATGTGAAACAGTGACATCGTGGCTTTTAACAAGAAGTCTGTTTTTCACATTCTGTCTGACCTGTGCACCTGGGAAGGGCAACAGTGGGTTCCCATTGGTGGGTGACGGTGAAGATGCCTGCTCCTCCTGCTCTATGGGGGATGGAGGTGCGTAGAGCTGCTGCTGCTGCTGTTGCTGCTGCGCGAGTCTCTCTAGTAACTCCTTCTTCCTGGCCCCTGCCTGCTGCTGCCGTCGCAACTCTTTCTGTTTCAGAATTTCTTCTCTGAGGCGTTTCTGCTCTTCTATCTTCAAGCGATATAATCTTGTTTCCTCATCTTCATCAGGAAACTAAAATGGAAAATATACATGGTTTACTTTGCTATACAGGCAAGGTGACCATTCCAGTCTATTTCAACAAACTAAGAAAATGCATTTCAAAAAATCCTTTTAAATTCAGTATTTGAAAGAAGTCATTCAAAATCTGCTTAAAGACTTTAAATATAACTCCTTCCTCTGGGGAGGAAAAAAAAATTACACAGCTAAAGCTAATTTGGAAAATCTTATCAGAATATTAAAAAATGAAATAATGTAAATTTCTACTCATTTACAAGTTTGAAGCCAATTAAACTATTCATTTAAGATATCAAAATATGTTTCAAACGGGAATGGCAGCAGAAGGGAAACCTACTGTCACACAGGTTTTATCTGGCTCTTCCCTGACAAACCAACAAAAGGTGGGGTGTAAATGACCTGAAAGGCTCTGATTAGAACTATTGATTTTTCGTACAGAATTTTCAGCCTGATCTCAAACTCATTTGTCACAGAATAATTGGTTATAATGAACAGCACAAGTCAATCTCTCTGACCTTGAACTCATGCACTCTCCTCAGAATCAAAATGTTGCCAATTGCAGTATTGGAATATTAATGATATATAAGGAATGCCTTTAATATTTTAACTCCACAACATTCTGAAAGTCTATTAAAAAAAAAAAGAACTTTGAAAAAGTCCAGTAACTTTAATAAAAAGCACACAATAAGGAAAGTTTATAAAAAGTTAAACATTTTTTAAAAATTGTAATAATATTCTTTTTGGGAAGGGGATTCTGGGTCTCACTCTGTCACCCAGGCTGCGGTGGCACGATCACAGCTCACCACAGCCATGATTGCTCAGGCAATCTTCAGCCTCCTGAGTAGCTGGGATTACAGGTGTGGGCCACCATGCCTGGCTAATTTTTTATGATTTTTTTGTAGAGGCAAGGTCTTCCTAAGCTGCCTAGGCTGGTCTCAAACTCCTGGATGTAAGCAGTCCTCCAAGGTGCTGGGACTGCAGGCGTGAGCCACTGTATCCAACTTGCAAAACTATTATTTTTTTTTTAAAGCAGGTTTATTAAGAGGACAGAGAAGTTCCCACAGTGAGAAGGGACCCGAAGGGGTTACCCTTAATATCGTTTAAAAATCATCCATATCCACAGATCCTGTATAAAAGAATGTAACAGAATTCAATCTATCTAGAATTCAGCTATTTTACCATATTACCTACCCTGAATAAACCTTAAGAATGAGATCCTTAAAACAACACACAGCTGAGGAGTCAGCTAGTGCCCCAGTGCTTGTCACTGGCCCTCACTCAGGGTTTGCTTGTTGAGGGGAAACAATTCTGACTTACTCTGTTATCTACTTTCAAAGTCTGAGACAGATTTCAAATTGCAAACATAAGGTGGGTGAGGGGCTGTTACACAGGTAGGCATACAGTGCAAGAAATAACATTAAGAGGGAAAACAGAAAAACCATTAGCAGGGTTCAAATCGCAGGGGGACTTGGGCATGTAGGGGGCAGCAGACAGCTGTGGACATATTAACAGGACCCGAGGACCTATTGCTTCAAAACGCAGGAATAATTGCCAGTCATCAGATGTTTCTCCAAGCAATCAAGGAAGAGTTGAAGTGTGTTCAGGATATCAATAAAAATGCTTGAGAAAGAATTTCATCTAAATAGATTCATCCTTTATTATATCATTACCAATAGGGTGAGTGTAAGAAAGTAAGCTGCATTTAGCAAAGCAAAATAAATAAAAGCCTTGTCTTTCAAAAACTTTATAATCCCAGTGCCATTACATATATAGAAAATTGAAAGAAAATAAATTAAGGTATTCAACTTGTATTATGGTGATCGACAAGATCCATTTCACTCATAAAGTAATGTTTGAAAAAACTCTATAGAAGAATCCTTTAGTAGTACACCTAAATCAACTATGATAAAAGAATCCGATCATCAGATGTGGCTAGCAGTGTGTACTTTTCTCCTATTATTTAGCCACTGTTCTTATATAAAGTAATGTGCGTAAAACTTAATTTTTCTGACCTAAATCAGTTTATACATACTGAGTTAGGTGGTAGCTATAAAAACTGAAAGCATAAAAATTTTAGCAAAGAATTCCTTATAAACTTCCTCAATCCAGCTTGTAAATCTACATTATTATTTCATATACTGATTTTAAAATGAAAACTCACCCTTTTAATAAGAGTTTATTGTAAGTTAACTCAATATTTTATATTTCTAATTTGGTAAACATCACAACTGCTATAATAATTTATTAGAAGAGAATCTAAAAAAAAAATCTAACCAATTAAAAGATAAAACCAATTTATGTAATTAAGAAAGCATGACTTGCCTAAATTCTTACCTAAGGAAGCTCTTCACATAATTGTTACTGTAACATTAAGCTAAATCAGCACACTACTTCAGTGCATTCCATATAAACTTCATTAATGTTGACACAAATTCCACATGCTGGTCTCCTGCCATGTCCAAACACACACACGGCCTTGCCCTACCTTCCTTTACCAGATGAGGAAACAGGCTTGTGGAAGGAAGACCTCAATCGGAAGACTTATGAAATACTGACCTGCATTTATTATTTATACTTACAATATTCTGTACCTACTTAAAAACTAGCAAAAACATATATAATTAGCCTTCAAACCAAGTTAACCTCCCCTCAAAATCTTAAAGACCAAAGGAAAATTGGTCTTGTCTTCTAGGAATTTATAGAGTAAAAAAAGTCACAGAAACCTCCCAGTGTACATCAGGGCTCTCAGCAGATTACACACCACGGATCAAAGTTGGTTTACCACATGGTCTTGTAAATAAAGTTTTACTGGAAGATAGCCACCTCCATTCACATAAGAACTGTATAAAAACTGCCTTTGTGCTAAAATGGCTGAGTTGGGTAATTATGACTGTTTGGACTATACAGCCGAAAATATTTACAAACATTCAGTCCTTTTGCAGAAAAAGTCTGCTAATTCTGGTATATGTTAATTCTGTATAACAACAACTCTATACACATATAAATAAAATCTAATATTACAAACCAGTGAGACTGTAACTTTCAGATATTAGGTAAAGAAAAGAACTGAGGTGAAAAAGAATGGGAAGATTTTGTGAATGACTTACTATATGAGAGTGAACTAAGAGGCTACATGCTGATTATGAGGCTTTTCGCTCACACCAAACATTTTTTAATAAGGGAAAATGCCCTACCTCTGTTTCCGCTTTTGCTTCTTCTTTAGGTTGAGCCACAGGGCTAACTGGCTTGACTTTCACTTCAGTCATTCCCTGTGAGTTCCTGGAAGCTGCCACTGCCCTCGCTGGTGGCGACGTGCTGACAATAGGTTTCACTTGAGCTGAAGGTGTGGTGGAGCAACGACTGCTGCTCATCTCTATAACGTGTGATGGCGCTATGGGTAACTCACGCAAATTACTGTTTCTTGGAGCAGTGGGCTGCATTTGCTGCATCGGACGTTTGGTGACATTCTGAGATGCTGTATTCTATTCAAAGGAAAAAATAATTCAAATTATAATTGGAAACTTGATAGAGGAACATTAAAAGGTACATTATTTAATCAAAATATAACAAATCATTCTAACAAGTAAATTACTTGGGGGGGGGCAGATGCTTTTCTCCTTGGTTAATAATTTTCTTCATGCAAAAATGTTGTCTGATCTAGGCAGTGGCATTCCCTAATCCTAAAGTTAAGGACTTGAATTAATAACGATATCATACCTGCCTAGAGATAAGCTCCTCTTTATAGAAATTAGTACAGAGACTGACATCTTTATAATAGAATTTGACAGAGTCCAAAAAGCACTCTATCAGTTACAAGGAGTCAATGAGATTAATGGTACTACCATTTTACTTAATCATTTGTATTTAATGTGGAACAAGAAAAGAATCAAGCATTAAGTCAATGTCCTAAGAAAAATGACTCCATAGAGAAGAGAAGTGCCAGAAAGTTTTATGCAAGAGGAAATTCTCAGTCATGTTCACCCTAGAGAGTTTGGAGAAATCAACACATGGAGGAGTTATGGATCCACAGGAGAGCTGGTGGGGAGCTCTGAGTTCACACAAATCAATTATCCCAGCACATGAGGCTCATGAGAATAGCCTACCATTATTCTAACAAATGAAACCCTGGCTATAAAGTACCCTCTTCTCAGATCTAGAAATCCTTTTTACTGTTTGTATCATTTAGTTGTAATACTACCTTATGACAAAAAGAGGTAAGTAACAGGAAAACAGATTCAAAGTAGATTAGTGACATGCTTGTAAGCTCAAAGGTGAAAAGAAGACAGTATTAAAATAAGTCTTACAGACTAGAACTCTAGCCACTAGCATACCATGTTTCCTTCCTGAAAAACTAAATTACCAAAGTCATTTTTACATAGTTATTTAATGGAGGATGAGACCATGACTGTTGCCTTTCATTTTTAGAGCAATATATTATTTCCCAGTTTCTTTCAATGCATGATAAACCCACATATTTGCTGACAGTACCTGAGAACATAACCTCACAAACAAATGCATGCCAATCTCCCTCAATTGAATATTAACTCCTTGAAGGGAGGTTATTTGTTTATTTTGTTAACTGCTATATTCCCAGAAACTATAGTATCTGGCAAAAGGATATTCAATATCTTTTTCCTGAATTAATTTACTTATTTATTCAGAGACGGAGAGAATCTAGACACCAAAAATAAGCCACTAACAAAGGCAGAATGACTTTCTAAGTTATATGTCTATTATTTAATAATACCTATCACCACAAAAATATCTAGATACAGGAAATATGTTAAGGTATATATATTAATACAATCTTTAAGACACAAAAGAGATAAATTTTGAATTTCTCTAATCAAGACAATTTCTTAAGTGTTTTTTAAAGCATGGATTCACTCTCAAAACAATGTACTACATATTTTATACATTTAAATCTGAATTAGAAAATACTCTAACCCATAAACAACAACCTTGAAGTCAAGTAAAAGCCATTCCAAGAAAATACCATCTGACACTTACGTGCCTTAGCCCCTGGCGCGGGGGGCACTGCATCCGGCTGCTGTTTGACTGAGGCTGAGCTGTCTGCACATGCGGCCTGAACTGTGGCTGAGCCATGGGCATCAGAGGAGGGGGAGGCACTGCCAAGTGGTGGTGGTGCTGGTGCTGCTGAGGCTGGTGCTGCGGTGGGTGCGGGGGCGGGGGCTGGTGCGGGGGAGGGTGCTGGGGTGGGGGCTGGTGCTGGTGGTGCTGGGGCTGCTGCTGATGCTGCTGAGCTTGCTGCTGCTGAGGCTGAGGCTGAGGCTGATGTGGAGGGGGCAATGGAGGATGCAAGGGCCCCTTCCGTTCCCAAAGAAAGAGAAAGAACCAGTTATAAATGGGCATACTTAGGTATATTTCAACTCAACTATTTCTTCAAAGTCTCAACACAAGAAAATAACTTTTAGTACCACCAAAACTCCATTTTAGATTTGCAGATGAAGGCACCACTATCTTAAACGCAATAATAAGCCACAAGCTACTACCTTAAAGTTTGTATTCAAGTCCAGTAATTCCAGGACTGAATTGTCCTAACAAAATAACTAAATATGCAAACAAACCCACAAATTCAAGTATGCTGCCTACAGCACTATGATACCAAGGACATGAAACCAACATACACATGCAAAACAGTAATGGCAAAAAATCCTTGGGCAGCATTCTTTAATGATGGAGCAAAAGTCAATTCACTGACACAAAAAGATCATAATGCTATGTTAACCAGGGAAAAAAAGCAGATGGTGAGGATGTTTGCATTTAAAAGAGAGAAAAAGAAAAGGTACACAGGCTAGGCATGGTAGCTCACACTTGTATTCCCAGCACCTTAAAAGACTGAGATGAGAAGATGGCTTGAGCCCAGGAATTCAAGATCAGCCTGGGAAACACAGCGAGACCCCATAGTCCCAGCTAGTCAGGAGACTGACAAAGGAGAATTGCTTGAGCCCAGGAGCTCGAGGTTATGGTAAGCTATAATTATGCCCTGTCTCTGCAAACAATTTATTTTATTTTACTTTACTTTTTTGAGTCAGGATGGAGTACCTTAGTCTCCTGAGTAGCTAGGACTACAGATGCATGCCATCATGTCCAGCTAATATTTTAATTATTTTGTAGAGAGGTTTCACTATATTGTCTAAACTGTTCTCAAACTCCTGGGCTCAAGCAATCCTTCTACCTCAGCCTCCCAAAGTGCTAGGATAAATGGTGCAAGCCACCACACCTGGCAGACTCTGCCTCTTTAAAAAAAACAAAAACAAATAAAAAACACACACACACACCCCAATGTTACCAAATGCTAGTAGTGACTATTTCTACGGAATAAAATTATTTAATTTCCTTTTCTTATACTTACCTATATTCTAATATTTCTGCAATAAAGATGTACTAATTGCACTTTTTCTAAAACAGAATCCTTTATTTTCCTTCAACATCCTACATAATTTTCCTTTTTTAGCTTAGGTAAGTATTCTATGTGTTTTTAAATAGGTGGCTCAATTATATAATTTTTATATATTTTAATAGTAAATCTAAAATACAAGAAGAAATATACTGAGTAAGAAAGATGTTACGGATGCTCATGTCAAGCAATGAAGCATAAACCTATCGACAGAGGGCACTCATGTTCTCCAAATAAGTCAGGGAACAGCAACATTTTTTTTCCCCTCCATACGATGAATCATTTCACTGCAGGAGTATAATCTGATGAAGTATTTCCACTATTAAACTTCCAAGAAATCTTGTAAAGATGAGCATATGTATGTATGTAGCTTTTAGAAACCCTAATAGTGACATTTTTCAATTTCTCAAAAATGACAATCACATTTTTCATTTCTCCTGGTATTAAGGACATAAATAATAGTGTCAAAAAGTTGTCTTTAATGGACAGTACTTTCAAGGCTAATAACACCCTTAGTCTTGAAATAACCACAAATTATTAGACTAGAATAAAAATTTGAAACTTTACTTTTATAAAACACAAAGACCCAAAGCTACACATAAACTTTTTCCCTGAGGTTCGCTCAGGACGCATACCTGCAGATTAGGCTGTGCATGTGTGGGCAGAAACGGCTGTCCTGGGCCAGGCAGGAAGGGCTGTCTAGGAGGAATGAAAGGCCGTGTGGTTGCTGACCCTGGCTGGCTAAAGTGCAGGATCCCCACTGGACCCGGAGGCTGCAGGGCCGGTCTTACGGGCCTCTCTCTTGGGAACACCGGTTGCTGTCCTTGCTGATTAAATGCTGGTCCTGGCTGAGTGAATGGTAAAGGACTCTGAGTAGGAACAGGATGGCTACTGTTAAGAAGCGTGGGAGGCGGTGGTGGTGGAGGGGGACTTCGCTGGTCCAGAAAAAGATGACTTGGGAACCTTGGTTCACCTGAAACTAAACAGCAGTACATTACCTTCTGGTTAGAAAGACCATGTGTTTCTCAGAAAAGGAGTTTTATGTACCATCTTATTGTGGACACAAATAACAAGTGTTGGCAGGGACTGAATGTTTGGAAAGAATTCGAGATTTTTGCCTCTTATTTCTAGAGTGTTTCATTTGTCATTTTCTATAATTTCCACCTTTGTATGGGATTTTTCACATTTCAGTATCAACAATATCTAAGCTTAGCACTTCAAATAATAGGCAGCACAAAAATCTGACATTTTTAACAAAACTCCTACTGAAGAGTTAAATTCAGTTCAAAAACTAAATGTGTTCAAGCACGTTACCTAATTACTGCACATCACTCATACTTTATGTACCTCCTAAAAAGAAAGGATCTCGCTCCTGAGGCGGGGGTGGGGCTCTCCATTGGTCCTGGAGAGGAAGCCGGGGCGGCTGGCTAAAATTGTTGGGAACAGGTCCAGGTGTATGCTGTGGAAATTCTGGAGGACCCTAAAGAACAACAGGAAAACAGGGTGAAAGAAAGAAAAACATTCTATAATTTTCATAAATGTATACTTGGTTCCAAGTTTTCCTCTGAAAAGGTCAAGTAACATTTCCTACAATCAGTGTTTCTCTCCCCGCCCCCCACACACAGTCATGCAATGCTTATGACAGGGATACATTCGACAAATGTATCGTTGGGTGATCACCACAGAGTGTGCTGTACTTAGACACCTAGATGGTACAGCCTACTGCACATGTAAGTTATATGAGATACCCTATTGCTCCTAGGCTACAAACATGGACAGTATGTTACTATACTGAATACTTCGGCAACTGTAACACAATGGTAAATATTTGTGTAGCTAAACATATCTAAATATAGAAAAGATACAGTAGAAATACAGTATTATAATCTTATGGAATCACTATTATATATGCCATTGATCAAAATATTCTTATGTGGCAAATGACTATACATGTAAACAAAAACTACATTACAAAATGGTGATTTTGCTATAATTAAAAAGTCAAAAATCAAAATGCAGCATTTAGAAATTAATTTAGTGTTTTAAGCTTACTGAAATCCACACAATTACTGACCTTCCTTTCCATTAATTCAAAAGACTACATGTATACTTTTGAGTGTTCATAACATTTATCTTTTCAAATGCTATTTTTGCTACCTATTTAACATAATCACACGCTACAGAAGCTGCTGTACTCCAAAAAAAGAAAAAGAAATTCAGTTTGGACCATGGCAAAAAATCAGCAACCTCTGACATAACAGAAAAATGTGGGATGTCTGAGAGACCAAATCAACACAAAAGAAATATTACACAAATTTCTTTGGTTAAAAAATTTTAAGCAAACTCTTAGAGTAACATTTTTCTAAAACTACATGTTACTAGAAGAACTCTATGAGACAAACTATAACTACTTTATTTTTCAATGGGCCTTTCAGTATTCATGGAGATATTTTTAACCACCTTATTTAGGTAAGAAGCAGCATTTAAAGAAATGCTCACAATTTTTTTCACTGCTCCTAAAAGAAATAATTCACTAATTATTAACTATCATCAAACTAATTTTCATTTAATAGCCAATATAGCTCAACTTTTAAAAATCGTGCTTCTTTCTGATAAACTTAAAATTCTTTACCTATTAATGATATTGTGGGAATCACACAAAATGAACACTAGTATAATACCACAAATTCTTAAGACTGTTGGCTATAAAATGATAGCAGTTATGTTGAAGACACAAATATCACATATTTTTAAAAACACAAATATTAGGTACGTATTGAAACATGTGAAACAGAAAGTTCCAAAGCTTAAATTTTTGCAGCTTTTGTTTATTACTTTAGGCAAAACAAGGAAATCCTCAGCATATCAATGTTTGACATTAGGGAGTATCACTTCTCACTCTAAAGATATCAATTAAGACAACCAAACTAATAAACATCAGTAAGTGAGGAATGTATTTACAAGCAAGAATACATATTATATACATTCATACTATATTGAAAAGTTGCTTACCCCTAGTAAATGTGTATAATTTATCATAATGTTAATTTGAAAATTCAGTGATACAATACTTTGATACAAATATTCTTTAATATTTACTATCTTGACTTTGATAATTACTACAAAATTATTTCTAACAGCATAGGTTATTACACAATGTTTCTTATTAAATTTGCACAAGGAGCTTCAGTGGACTTGGCTACTTTCTCCCACTGTCATACTCTTTCCTTTTGCATTAAAAATATTCTTTTTTTGTGTTTGAAGTCAATGGAAATACAAAGTGTATGTGTGCAAATATCTCCTCAAAAATAACACTGTATTTGGCCAGGTAACATGGATGTTCTATTTATAAAGTATAGCATTAGTATTTCATATTCTGTTGTGTATTTGAACATTATTCTGACATATATGGACAGTTCCTGACTTACAATGGTTTGGCTTATGATATTTTCAACTTACAGTAGGTTACTCTGAATACAACCCTATCATAAGTTGAAGAGTATTTGTATATGCATTTCAAAATATGTTTTAAAATAATCTTCAAAATCCTCTGAATTCTGCATTTTTAAAAAATGTTTAAATGATGTTTCTTGAAATGACACAAAAAACAAACCACTGCCTGCCTTCTGTTTTGCAAACTAGCAATGGTGGTCCTGAATAAAAATTCTTTTCCAATTAAATAGCCTGCTTCCTTAAGTTGTTTTGTTGTATACTTGACTGTACTTCTTCTGGAGGAGAAGGCAAACGGGGAGGTTTCAAACAGATAAACACAAAAGGAATCAGTAAAAAAATTAAGATAATTTTCATCGAGAAATGCAAAGCCTACAGATCAAAATTATGTTTCTGAGACACTGTATCACAGCCCAAAAAAGCTAATAGTTATAAAAGTTTTTTAAAAATTGCTCAAATTTAAAAGAATCTTTGAAAAATATAATTCCTATGAAGTTTTAGCTTACAAATAAAAATGTTAATAATAGCTACCAGAAAACAGGAAAAACCATTTCTAACTTTCAAGTGTGATAACAAATGATAGCTCTCTTTAAATAACTGAGTCGTGGTCATTTACAAGTAGGTCTGTTTTGATTTGCACCGACCAGCTAGGTAAGAGTCTGGTTGAAGCAGTTTTCAATTCAACTCAAGGAAGCTTACACAACTTTAACATACAGCAACGGGCATAATCCTTGACCACAGAACCATCCACTGAGTAGGAGGACCACCATCTGTCAAGGGTCTAAAAGTGAACTAGCTAGAGAACCCACAGGGTCTAAGCTAACTTACAGTGGGTCTGTGGATGTTCTGGAAATCACAGAAAATGACTTTGGCTAGTGCTGGTCAAATCATGTGCCAGGCATAGATGGCAACAGGACTGGGTTGGGAAGAAGGGAGTCCTGACATGAGGTACAGGTCTCTGTCTCCAGAGTCTCGAACTTGGGGAGTGCTCACAAAGAGGTTGATTACATTTTCTTATCTGATAGGTCTTGATATCTAGTAGAAGTCAGGTCAGCAAAGTCAGAGCATGGTTAGAACTGGGAGTGTAGGTGTTGCACCAAGGCTCAAGTCCTGGGTGACACAGGAAGGTACAAGTCATGCAAATGGGAGGCCATTCTTTCCACTCACCAGGGTCTCACAGCCTTTTGTACCTGAGCCAGCACTCCCTACCATGCAATGGCTAACACTCCCTACACACACCCTACCATGCAATACAGGACGTCTCACTCACTGTCCACAACAGGCCACCATGATCTCATCAACACACAGCAAAAAAAACTGTAACTTTAAGACATTAAATCACTGGTCCAAAGTCATACTATTATTTTAGCATCTTTAAATCACATTATGTTCACTCAACAACATCACAGATTTCAATACTCAAGAAAAACAAGTCAAACCTCCCATAAGACTTAATTTTATTTATGACATAATGAAAATGCAGTGGGAGAAGTTTCAACCCATGTATTATAAATTTTATAAAATTATTAAATTTGGGTTACAAATTGTTCCCTAACTTGGATATGAAAATGGTAGTATAAACCCAACTTGGAATGTTAATTCTAGAAGCTTCCATATTCCATCTCTGGTATTTCCTTGGAAAAACATTCACTCTAATCTTTCTAACTCAGCCCAAGTGTAAAATCACTACAGAAGATGGCTTCTCTTGTAACCCCTAGTGAAGAACCTTCACTTTCTCATGTCCTTACTTCACTCTCTGGACACTTCCCATTTCGGGAGACCTACCTGCCACAGATTCCAATTGGACCCAAGCATTCAACACCTCTACCCCTGCAGTTGAACTGAGGGCTGGGGCAGGAAAGATCTCATGAACTGAAATAAAAGCTTGTATTTCATTCTGACCAGCCCAACAATGTCACTCAGCAGTTTTTCACCTGTCTCTAAGTAGTGCCCACTTCTACTGCCCATGATAACTTCACATCACTGAGCACCCTCCAGTTCCCAATCCTACTACACAGCTGGTCCCTCCTCCTGCAAAGTTCTTAACATCCTCACTGCATTTTCCTCCCACCTTCTTTCATTCACCTACATCTAAATTTCATTTTTTACCATGAGTAATTACTCGCTGCTAATTTTTAGCAAGTCTATTTGTTAAATATATAAATAAATTCTCACTATTTTATACATTTGGTCAGATTTTTCATTTAAAAGTAGAAACTGGAGTTGAGTTATAACAGAGGTTGAAAGCCTGCTACTGATATGTTGACAAGCTTTCAGCCTCAACTACAGCCAGCGCACGTCAGGGCTCATAACTCATTAGGTCTACCAGTCACCACTATACTAATGAGCTGACAAAATGCAGGCATCAGGCATGTCAGGAGGCCAGGAAGAGTAAAATCTACTTTCTGAGAAAGGGGGAGAGGCCTTTAGGGCTATTTCTACTTAACCTTTAAATATTTTTATTGTATTAATAGCTGGAAATCAGCATCACTGAGGGTGAAAATTATTTATCAATATATAACTGTTTTCACAATCTCAACAAAGGGCAAAGTCAACAAGACTCCATAGGTAACTATTCACTACCACCAATCTACCATCACCCTCTCCTACCTCAGCCCAGTCCAACCTCTCTTCCGCTTTGGTGTGACTAACTATGAGGGACGCTGTTTTCACAGGATTCACTCCACACTAGCAACACACAGGAGGCAGAACTGCTTCCCAGGGGCACAACAAGGAACCCCTTCTGGAACCGGCCTATTTTTACAGGTTCTCACGGAAGGTAAGGAGTACCGATTTCTCTTGACTTTTACTTCCTTAACTTTGCCCATATTAAAGCAAGCTGAAAGAGGTCCTAACCTTTCTGCCTTTATTACTTATTATGTGAAGCCCTAACATTTATTACTGCTTTTCTTACTGAGTTTATAGAGAACTGGAAAATATTTCAGTTTCTTATAAAATCTGTAGTTACTTATAAATTCCATGACTGCATTTTGTTGCTACAAGCCCCCCCCCCCCCCCCCCCACCCATCT